ATGCAATGATACTGATAATAATATAACAGAAGTAATATAATGATAATAATATGATACAGATATTAATATGATAATAATAATAATAATAATAATACAATGATACTGATAATAATATGATAATAATAATATAATGATAATAATGATAATAATACAATGATACTGATAATAATATGATAACAATAATAACATAGTGAAAACAATAATAACATTATGATGGCATCTCAATCCTTAGAGGCAGAGGAGCCTTGTTATAATAATAACAATAATATGATAATGATAGTGATAATATAATGAATATGATAATATAGTGATGATAATACTACAAAGATACTGATAATATGATGATGATAATAATAATATGATAATAATACAATGATACTGATAATAATATGATAACAATAGTAACATTATGATGGCGTCTCGATCCTTAGAGGCAGAGGAGCCCTGTGATAATAATAACAATAACAATAATATGATAATGATAGTGATAATATAATGAATATGATAATATAGTGATGATAATACTACAAAGATACTGATAATAATATGATGATAATAATAATGATAATACAATGATACTGATAATAATATAATGATAATATAATAATAATAATGATAATAAGAGTACAATGCTACTGATACTATCCCTTTGCCTCCTCCTTCCTCTTCCCAGGCTGCCCGCCCCAGTTGTGGGGCCCGGAGTGCCAGGAGCGCTGCCTGTGCTTCCCGCGGGGCGCATGCGATGCGCGGAGCGGGGCCTGCGCGTGTGGGCCGGGCTGGTGGGGGCCCCTGTGCGGGCGGGCCTGCCCCTGCGGCCCCCACGGGCGCTGCCACCGGGACTCGGGGGCCTGCCTGTGCGCCGCGGGGTGGTGGGGGCCCCTCTGCCGCCGGCCCTGCCCCTGCTTCCCCGGGGGGGCCCCGCGCTGCCACCCCGCCTCGGGCGCCTGCCTCTGCCGGCCGGGCTTCTGGGGCCGCGCCTGCGCCTCCCGCTGCCCCTGCCACGGCTCCCCCTGCGCACAGCACTCCGGGCACTGCCACTGCCGCGAGGGCCGGCGCGGGGACGACTGCGCTCAGCCCTGCCCGGAAGGCACCTACGGCCTGCTCTGCGCTCACAGGTACGCGGGGCCCCCGCCGGCCCTTGGGGACCCCAGGAACCCTTCCTCGCCTCAAGGGCTCTTTCGCATCAACGCTTAGCGGATTCCGCTTCTAATGATCGTCATCATCATTAGTATCATTTATTATTTTAAGAGGCGGTATGGCCATCTGCTGGGAGGGATCGAATGGTGTCCTCCTTTCGAGGATTGCACTAGAGGGCCCTCCTTGAGCTTCTCTTCCAACATTAGAATTCTTCTATTATTATTATTATTATTATAGTGTGTGTGGCTATCTGCTGGGATGGATCGAATGGTGTCCTCCTTTTGAGGATTGCAGTAGAGGGCCCTCCTTGTGGTTCTCTTCCAACATTAGAATTCTTCTGCTGTTGTTGTTGTTGTTGTTCTTCTTCTTCTTCTTCTTCTTCTTATTATTATTATTATTATTATTATTATTATTATTATTATAGTGTTTATGGCCATCTGCTGGGAGGGATTGAATGGTGTCCTCCTTTTGAGGATTGCAGTAGAGGGCCCTCCTTGTGGTTCTCTTCCAACATTAGAATTCTTCTTCTGCTGTTGTTGTTGTTGTTGTTGTTCTTCTTCTTCTTCTTCTTCTTCTGTTGTTGTTGTTGTTGTTCTTCTTCTTATTATTATTATTATAGTGTTTATGGCCATCTGCTGGGAGGGATTGAATGGTGTCCTCCTTTCGAGGATTGCACTAGATGGCCCTCCTTGAGGTTCCCTTCTAACACTAGAATTTTTCTGTTGTTGTTGTTCTTCTTCTTCTTATCATTATTATTATTATTATTATTATTATTATTATTATTATTATTATTATCGTGTGTATGGCCATCTGCTGGGAGGGATTGAATGGTGTCCTCCTTTTGAGGATTATTATTATTGTGATGATTCTCTCTGCCTGTGTGCCTCCAGGTGTGGCCATTGCAGTCCGGGGGCCCCTTGCTCTGCGGTGGACGGGAGGTGCGCTTCCTCCTCGTGCGCTTCCGGGTGGAACGGGACCCTCTGCGCGGAGCCCTGCCCCCCGGGGACACACGGGGAGGGGTGCCTCCACACCTGCCCCCCAAGCTGTCGCCGGGGAGAAGCCTGCCACCCGGAGACCGGCGCCTGCCACCACTGCGAGGATGGCCTCACCGGAGACAGGTAGCCGACATAGTAGGGCAAGGCAATTGCAGTGGGGGGGGGGGGGGGACACACACCCCCAGCCCCTCCCTCCCTCCCTTCCTACCTTCCTCTTTCCACCTTTTCTTCTTCCAGGTGCCACCTTCCGTGTCCCGCCAACCGTTTTGGGGAGGGCTGCCTGGGGGTTTGCCCCTTCTGTGCCAACGGGAGCTGCCACCCAGTCAGTGGGGCCTGCCTCTGCCAAGACGGTTTCTGGGGGGACAGGTGAGCAGCAGGTGCCCAGCCCTCGTATTATTATTATTATTATTATTATTATTATTATTATTATTGTATTAGATTATTATTATTATTACCATTGTTGTTGTTGTTGCCATTATATTTTCTATTATTATTGTGATTATATTAGATATTATCATCCTTATTACTATTGTATTTTATTATTATTATTATTATTATTATTATCATTTTTACTATTTTATTTTATTATTATTATATATTATTACTATTGTATTTTATTATGGTGATTACTATTACACTGTATATTATCTTGAGTAGTATTGTATTATTAATATTGTTACCATATTGAATTATATTATTATTCGGTTGTTGTAGGTTTTTCCGGGCTATATGGCCATGTTCTGGAGGCAATTTTTCTCCTGACATTTCGCCTGCATCTCTGGCAAGCATCCTCAGAGGTAGTGAGGTCTGTTGGAAGTAGGAAAAAGGGTTTATATATGTGTGGAATGACCAGGGTGGGACAAAGGACTCTTGTCTGTTGGAGCTAGGTGGGAATGTTTCAGCTGATTAGCATTGGATGGCCTGGCAGTGCCTGGGGGGAATCCCTTGTTGAGAGTGATTTTATGTGCCTGTTTGTTTCCCCTCTGCTGTTTTGCTGTTGTAATTTTAGAGTTTTTTAATACTGGTAGCCAGATTTTGTTCATTTTCATGGTTTCTTCCAAGCCATTGAATGCTAATCAAGGTGATCAGCTGAAACATTCACACCTCGCTCCAGCAGACAAGAGTCCTTTGTCCCACCCTGGTCATTCAACAGATATATAAACCCAATTTTCCTAGTTCCAGCAGACCTCACAACCTCTGAGGATGCTTGCCATAGATGCAGGCGAAACGTCAGGAGAAAATGCCACTAGACCATGGCCATACAGCCCGCAAAAACCGACAAGAGCCTAGTGATTCCAGCCATGAAAGCCTTCGACAATATATATTATTATCATTATTACTATTATATTTTATATTGTTATCATTATTACGATTGTATTTTATTATTATGATTGCTATTATATTGAATTATATTATCATTATTACTATTGTATTATTATGATTACTATTATATTGAATATTATTATCATAATTATATTTTATATTGTTATCCTTATTACTATTTTATTTTATTATGATTACTATTATTTTGAATTGTATTATTATCATTATTACTATTGTATATTATTATTACTAATACTATAGATTATCTTTATTAGTATTGTGTTATTATTGTTATTATATAGAATTATATTATTATTATTATATTTTAGAATATTATCATTACTATTTTATTATTATTGCTATTATATTGAATTATATTATTATCATTATTACTATTATATTTTATATTGTTATCATTATTACTATTGTATTTTATTATGATTGCTTTTATATTTAATTTTATTATCATTACTAAACTATTGTATTATTATTATTGCTATTCTATTGAATTATATTATTATCATTATTAATTATATTTTATATTGTTATCGTTATTACTATTGTATTTTATTATTATGATTGCTATTATATTGAATTATATTATCATTATTACTAATGTATTATTATGATTACTATTATATAGAATTTTATTATTATCATTATTTTATTATTACTGCTATACTATATGTTATTATCATAATTACTATTATATTTTATTATTATTGTTGTTGTTGTTGTTGTTGTTCTATTGTGTTATGTGAGATGATGGCGACGACCTTCCTGCCTTTCAGCTGCAACCGGAGCTGCCCCGAGGGCTTTGGGGGCCCCAACTGCTCCTCGTCCTGCCACCCGGTCTCCGGCCATTGCGCCTGGGGTGAGTCCTGCCCCCATTTCCCACCCCCTCCTCTTCCTGGCTGTCACCCTGACGTCTCCTCGCTCTCTGCCTTGCCAGGGGGCCACCCCCAAGCAGCCCTCGTGGCCGGGATCCTGGCTCCGCTGCTCCTCCTCGGCTCCTTCTTCTTCCTGGGGTGCTGGTGCTGCCGCCAAACGGAGACCCCAAGGTACCCCTCCTTCCCTCCCTCCCTCCCTTCTGGGGAGCCCCCCCCCCTTTGTGGCCCCCTTTCCTTGACTGTGCCCCCTTTCTTCCTTTCTTTTCTCCCCAGAGCGGCCCCAGGGGAAGGGTCCCCCCTCCGGAGGGTGAAGCGCCCCGTGCGCTGGGCCTGGCCCTGCCTCCCGCTGGAGGGACACAAGCTGCCCCGGGTCACAGGTCAGAGCGGGACGTGGGGGGGGCTCCTCTTGGGGGGGGGGCACGGGGGGGGGCTCTGGGGGCCCCGGGCTGACTGGCTCCCTCCCTGTGTGGCCCCCGCAGTCTCCCACCACGAGGCACAGCCCTTCACCCCCAGCTTCATCGAGGGGCCCTCCGCCGCCAACGCCTGGCCCTCCGACTCCTCCTCGTGGGACTCCCAGGAAGAGGAAGAGGAAGAGGAAGAGGAGCGGGCCCAGACAGCAGGTGGGACTTCCTTCCTTCCTTCCTTCTTTACTCCCTTCCTTCTTTCTTTCTTTTACGCCTTCCTTCTTTTATTTCTTCCTTCCCTTTCCTTCCCTCCCTCCCGCCTTTCATTCCTTCTTTCCTTCCTTCCTTCCCTCCTTCTTTTATTCCTTCCTTCCTTCCCTCCTTCCCTCCTTCTTTACTCCCTTCCTTCTTTCTTTCTTTTACTCCATCCTTCCTTCCACCTTTCTTTCCTTCCCTCCCTCCTTTCATTCCTTCTTTCCTTCCTTCTTTATTTTACCCCTTCTTCACTCCCTTCCTTCCTTACTTACTTACTTCCTTTCTTCCCTCCTTCATTCTTTCCTTCCTTCCATCCTTCCTTCTTTGACACCTTCTTCACTCTCTTCCTTCCTTCCTTCCTTCCTTCCTTCCTTCCTTCCTTCCTTCCTTCCTTCCTTCCTTCCTTCCTTCTTCCTTTCTTCCCTCCCTCCCTCCTTCATTCTTTCTTTCTTTCTTTCTTTCCTTCCTTTTTTCTTCCTTCTTTTACTTCTTCCTTTCATTTCTTCCCCCTTCTTTTATTCCTTCTTTGACTCCTTCCTTTCTTTTCCCTCCCTCCTTTCCTTCTTTCCTTCCTTTTTTTTTTATTCTTTCTTCATTCTTTCCTTCCCTTCTTTCTTCCTTTCTTCCTTTCTTCCCTCCTCTTCCTTCCTTTTCTTCCTTCCTTCCCTCCTTCTTTCATTCCTTCGTTCCTTCCTTCTTCTCCTTCCTTCCTTTTTTCCTTCCTTTTCCTTCCTTCCCTCCTCCTTTCTTCCTTCTTTCCTTCCTCTTTATTTTTTCCTTCTTCCTCTCTTCCTTCCTTCCTTCCTTCCCCTCCTTCTTCCTTTCCTCCCTTTCTTCCCTCCCTTTCCTTCTTTCTTCCTTTCTTCTTTTTTCCTTTCTTCCTTCCTTCCCTCCTTTTTCATTCTTCCTTCCTTCTTCTCCTTCCTTCCCTTTCCTTCCCTCCTCCTTTCATTCCTTCTTTCCTTCCTTCTTTATTTTACTCCTTCACTCTCTTCCTTACTTCCTTCGTTCCCTCCCTCCCTTCTTCTTTCCTTCCTTCCTTCCTTTTCCTCCCTCCCTCCCTCCTTTCATTCTTCTTTCCTTCTTCTTTAGTTTACTCCTTCTTCACTCCCTTCCTTCCTTCCTTCCTTCCTTCCTTCCTTTCTTCCTTTACTCCCTCCTTTCATTCCCTCCCTCCCTTCTTCTTTCCTTCTTCTTTAGTTTACTCCTTCTTCACTCCCTTCCTTCCTTCCTTCCTTCCTTCCTTTCTTCCTTTACTCCCTCCTTTCATTCCCTCCCTCCCTTCTTCTTTCCTTCTTCTTTAGTTTACTCCTTCTTCACTCCTTTCCTTCCTTCCTTCCTTCCTTCCTTCTTTCCTTCCTTTCTTTACTACTTCCCTTCCTTCTTTCCTTCCTTCTTTATTTTACTCCTCCTTCCTTCCTTCCTTCCTTCCTTCCTTCCTTCCTTCCTTCCTTCCTTCCCTCCCTCCTTCTTTCATTCCTTCTTTTACTCCTTCCTTCCTTCCTTGTTAGTATATTATATTATTACATAATAATAATAATAATAATGTTATTCCAATCACTAAAAGGGGGGAGGGAGATTGGATGGAAATATTACAATGAGGAATTTGGGGAATCAACATACAGGGACCCCCCAATAGAATATTATTAGTGTATTATATTATTATTGGTGATGATGATGATGTCATCACTCCACTCACTCAAAGGGGGGATTGGGTGGAGCCATTACAATAAGGGGGGGTGTCTGCAAACAGGGACCCCCCCCCCCAAAATAAGGAAAGACCCCTAACGGTTGTCCGTCCTTCCCTTTGCAGGGGCGTCGGACGGGGAGAGGAGTGGGGACCCCCTCCCCCCGCTGGGCATCCCCCGCACCTCCAGCCTGGCCAAGGCCCCCCGCCCCACTGTCTCCTTCGCCCAGGGGACCCGCTTTGGGGGGCCGGGACCCCCGCTGGGGAAGGCGCCGCAGGAAGGGCCCCGCCCCAAAGAGGAGGAGGAGGAGGAGGAGGAGGCCGAGGGGCTGACCACCATCTACGTGACCGTGGGCCGGGCGGACACCACGGGGGCCGGGGGGCCGGAGAAGAGGGACCCCGGAGGGGAGGGCGGGCCCAAGTATGAGAACGTCCCCGGGTGGGCGGGGGGCTCCCCAGAGGGACCCCTTTATTTTCCAGCTTGCAATCAATGAGAAGGGGCGCCACTCCCCACACCGCCACCAGAGGGCGCTCCCTTCCTTCCCTTGTTTGTGGAAGGAACTCTGCACGTGCTCAGAGGCGCTCTCCCTGCCCACCTAAGCTGGCTTTGGGGGTGCTTAGGGGCCCCTTTCCCATCCAACCAACGGGAACAAAGGACTGAGATGCCATTCCCAACACCACCAACAGAGGGTGCTGCTCCCCTTGCTTTGTGAGCCTGCGGAACTCTGTACGTGCTCAGAGGCCCTCTGTCCACCAACCTAACCCCAGTTTGAGGGATATTATTAAATATTAAACATAATTAAATATTATTGTTTCCCAGTATTATTATTACTATTATTTTGACTCCATGTTATATGCAATAGCTGATGTTTGTATTCTAATCACCTCCCAACAAAGGATTCCCCACCAGGCAGGAATCAGCCAGGCTTTGAAGCTGCAAGGCCATTCTATGCCAATCAAGCTGGCCAATGGCAACATTCACACTTGCCTCTAACAGACAAGAGCTCTTGCTAACACCTCCCAACAAAGGATTCCCCTGGGCAGGAAGCAGCCAGGCTTTGAAGCTGCAAGGGCACTTGATGCCAATCAAGGTGGCAACCTCAGGCAGGAAGCAGCCAGGCTTTGAAGCTGCAAGGCCATTTGATGCCAATCAAGGTGGTCAATGGGACCCCCAGGCAGGAAGCAGCCAAGCTTTGAAGCTGCAAGGCCATTTGATGCCAATCAAGGTGGCCGACGGCCACATTCACACTTGCCTCTATCAGACAAGAACTCTTGCTAACACCTCCCAACAAAGGATTCCCCCCAGGCAGGAAGCAGCCAGGCTTTGAAGCTGCAAGGCCATTCGATGCCAGTCGAGGTGGCCAATGGCAACATTCACATCCCCACACAGGAAGCAGCCAGGCTTTGAAGCTGCAAGGCCACTTGATGACAATCAAGCTGGCCAATGGCAACCCCAGGCAGGAAGCAGCCGGGCTTTGAAGCTGCAAGGCCATTCAATGCTAATCGAGCTGGCCAATGGGAACCCCAGGCAGGAAGCAGCCAGGCTTTGAAGCTGCAAAGCCATTCGATGCCAATCAAGGTGGCCAATGGGAACCCCAGGCAGGAAGCAGCCAGGCTTTGAAGCTGCAAAGCCATTTGATGCCAATCAAGGTGGCCAATGGCAACATTCACATCCCCAGGCAGGAAGCAGCCAGCTTTGAAGCTGCAAGGCCATTTGATGCCAATCAAGGTGGCCAATGGGACCCCCAGGCAGGAAGCAGCCAGGCTTTGAAGCTGCAAGGCCATTTGATGCCAATCAAGGTGGCCAATGGGACCCCCAGGCAGGAAGCAGCCAAGCTTTGAAGCTGCAAGGCCATTTGATGCCAATCAAGGTGGCCGACGGCCACATTCACACTTGCCTCTATCAGACAAGAACTCTTGCTAACACCTCCCAACAAAGGATTCCCCCCAGGCAGGAAGCAGCCAGGCTTTGAAGCTGCAAGGCCATTCGATGCCAGTCGAGGTGGCCAATGGCAACATTCACATCCCCACACAGGAAGCAGCCAGGCTTTGAAGCTGCAAGGCCACTTGATGACAATCAAGCTGGCCAATGGCAACCCCAGGCAGGAAGCAGCCGGGCTTTGAAGCTGCAAGGCCATTCAATGCTAATCAAGCTGGCCAATGGGAACCCCAGGCAGGAAGCAGCCAGGCTTTGAAGCTGCAAGGCCATTCGATGCCAGTCGAGGTGGCCAATGGCAACATTCACATCCCCACACAGGAAGCAGCCAGGCTTTGAAGCTGCAAGGCCACTTGATGACAATCAAGCTGGCCAATGGCAACCCCAGGCAGGAAGCAGCCGGGCTTTGAAGCTGCAAGGCCATTCAATGCTAATCAAGCTGGCCAATGGGAACCCCAGGCAGGAAGCAGCCAGGCTTTGAAGCTGCAAAGCCATTCGATGCCAATCAAGGTGGCCAATGGGAACCCCAGGCAGGAAGCAGCCAGGCTTTGAAGCTGCAAAGCCATTCAATGCCAATCAAGCTGGCCAATGGCAACATTCACATCCCCAGGCAGGAAGCAGCCAGGCTTTGAAGCTGCAAAGCCATTCGATGCCAATCAAGGTGTCCAATGGCAGCATTCACATCCCCACACAGGAAGCAGCCAGGCTTTGAAGCTGCAAGGCCACTTGATGACAATCAAGCTGGCCAATGGCAACCCCAGGCAGGAAGCAGCCGGGCTTTGAAGCTGCAAGGCCATTCAATGCTAATCAAGCTGGCCAATGGGAACCCCAGGCAGGAAGCAGCCAGGCTTTGAAGCTGCAAAGCCATTCAATGCCAATCAAGCTGGCCAATGGCAACATTCACATCCCCAGGCAGGAAGCAGCCAGGCTTTGAAGCTGCAAAGCCATTCGATGCCAATCAAGGTGTCCAATGGCAGCATTCACATCCCCAGGCAGGAAGCAGCCAGGCTTTGACGCTGCAAAGCCATTCGATGCCAATCAAGGTGGCCAATCGCAACATTCACATACCCCAGGCAGGAAGCAGCCAGGCTTTGAAGCTGCAAAGCCATTCGATGCCAATCAAGGTGGCCAATGGCAACATTCACATCCCCAGGCAGGAAGCAGCCAGGCTTTGACGCTGCAAAGCCATTCGATGCCAATCAAGGTGGCCAATGGGAATCCCAGGCAGGAAGCAGCCAGGCTTTGAAGCTGCAAAGCCATTCGATGCCAATCAAGGTGGCCAATGGCAGCATTCACATCCCCAGGCAGGAAGCAGCCAGGCTTTGAAGCTGCAAAGCCATTTGATGCCAATCAAGGTGGCCAATGGCAACATTCACATCCCCAGGCAGGAAGCAGCCAGGCTTTGAAGCTGCAAAGCCATTCGATGCCAATCAAGGTGGCCAATGGGAATCCCAGGCAGGAAGCAGCCAGGCTTTGAAGCTGCAAAGCCATTCGATGCCAATCAAGCTGGCCAATGGCAACATTCACATCCCCAGGCAGGAAACAGCCAGGCTTTGAAGCTGCAAAGCCATTCGATGCCAATCATTGTCGCCAATGGCAGCATTCACATCCCCAGGCAGGAAGCAGCCAGGCTTTGAAGCTGCAAAGCCATTCGATGCCAATCAAGGTGGCCAATGGCAACATTCACATCCCCAGGCAGGAAGCAGCCAGGCTTTGAAGCTGCAAAGCCATTCGATGCCAATCAAGGTGGCCAATGGGAATCCCAGGCAGGAAGCAGCCAGGCTTTGAAGCTGCAAAGCCATTCGATGCCAATCAAGGTGGCCAATGGCAGCATTCACATCCCCAGGCAGGAAGCAGCCAGGCTTTGAAGCTGCAAAGCCATTTGATGCCAATCAAGGTGGCCAATGGCAACATTCACATCCCCAGGCAGGAAGCAGCCAGGCTTTGAAGCTGCAAAGCCATTCGATGCCAATCAAGGTGGCCAATGGCAACATTCACATCCCCAGGCAGGAAGCAGCCAGGCTTTGAAGCTGCAAAGCCATTCGATGCCAATCAAGGTGGCCAATCGCAACATTCACATCCCCAGGCAGGAAGCAGCCAGGCTTTGAAGCTGCAAAGCCATTTGATTCCAATCAAGGTGGCCAATCGCAACATTCACATCCCCAGGCAGGAAGCAGCCAGGCTTTGACGCTGCAAGGCCATTCAATGCCAATCAAGGTGGCCAATGGGAACCCCAGGCAGGAAGCAGCCAGGCTTTGAAGCTGCAAAGCCATTTGATGCCAATCAAGGTGGACAATGGCAACATTCACATCCCCAGGCAGGAAGCAGCCAGGCTTTGAAGCTGCAAAGCCATTCGATGCCAATCAAGGTGGCCAATCGCAACATTCACATCCCCAGGCAGGAAGCAGCCAGGCTTTGACGCTGCAAGGCCATTCAATGCCAATCAAGGTGGCCAATGGGAACCCCAGGCAGGAAGCAGCCAGGCTTTGAAGCTGCAAAGCCATTTGATGCCAATCAAGGTGGACAATGGCAACATTCACATCCCCAGGCAGGAAGCAGCCAGGCTTTGAAGCTGCAAAGCCATTCGATGCCAATCAAGGTGGCCAATGGCAACATTCACATCCCCAGGCAGGAAGCAGCCAGGCTTTGAAGCTGCAAAGCCATTCGATGCCAATCAAGGTGGCCAATGGGAATCCCAGGCAGGAAGCAGCCAGGCTTTGAAGCTGCAAAGCCATTCGATGCCAATCAAGGTGGCCAATGGCAACATGGAACCCCAGGCAGGAAGCAGCCAGGCTTTGAAGCTGCAAAGCCATTCGATGCCAATCAAGGTGGCCAATGGCAACATTCACATCCCCAGGCAGGAAGCAGCCAGGCTTTGACGCTGCAAAGCCATTCGATGCCAATCAAGGTGGCCAATCGCAACATTCACATACCCAGGCAGGAAGCAGCCAGGCTTTGAAGCTGCAAAGCCATTCAATGCCAATCAAGGTGGCCAATCGCAACATTCACATCCCCAGGCAGGAAGCAGCCAGGCTTTGAAGCTGCAAAGCCATTTGATTCCAATCAAGGTGGCCAATGGCAACATTCACATCCCCAGGCAGGAAGCAGCCAGGCTTTGACGCTGCAAGGCCATTCAATGCCAATCAAGGTGGCCAATGGACATCCCCAGGCAGGAAGCAGCCAGGCTTTGACGCTGCAAAGCCATTCGATGCCAATCAAGGTGGCCAATCGCAACATTCACATCCCCAGGCAGGAAGCAGCCAGGCTTTGAAGCTGCAAAGCCATTCGATGCCAATCAAGGTGGCCAATGGGAATCCCAGGCAGGAAGCAGCCAGGCTTTGAAGCTGCAAAGCCATTCGATGCCAATCAAGGTGGCCAATGGCAGCATTCACATCCCCAGGCAGGAAGCAGCCAGGCTTTGAAGCTGCAAAGCCATTCGATGCCAATCATTGTCGCCAATGGCAGCATTCACATCCCCAGGCAGGAAGCAGCCAGGCTTTGAAGCTGCAAAGCCATTCGATGCCAATCAAGGTGGCCAATGGCAACATTCACATCCCCAGGCAGGAAGCAGCCAGGCTTTGAAGCTGCAAAGCCATTCGATGCCAATCAAGGTGGCCAATGGGAATCCCAGGCAGGAAGCAGCCAGGCTTTGAAGCTGCAAAGCCATTCGATGCCAATCAAGGTGGCCAATGGCAGCATTCACATCCCCAGGCAGGAAGCAGCCAGGCTTTGAAGCTGCAAAGCCATTCGATGCCAATCAAGGTGGCCAATGGGAACATTCACACCCCTAGGCAGGAAGCAGCCAGGCTTTGAAGCTGCAAAGCCATTCGATGCCAATCAAGGTGGCCAATGGCAGCATTCACATGCCCAGGC